GGAAGCCAAAATGCACTTTCATTATGAGCAACTGGTGCTGGACAGTGCTGGAGGCAGCAAATAACCACTGTTTTACACTTCGATTTGAAACATCAATGGAATGCAAACTGTATATGCACAGGAGGCTATCACATGCAATGAATTTGGAATACACACATATTGAGCAGTACACTTTGACGAGCCAATTTGGCAATCAAATGTGCGCAAATGCAGAAAGTGGCTATGTCTGTAATAGGTTAGTTTTTATACTAAGTTTTAGACGTTATATTTTATATTCTTAGTACATCATTTTGTAATATCAGTTTTGGGTACCACAAATAGTCTTACTCATCGTAAGACAACATGATACTTTGTTTTATTACTTTATAATTTATATAAAAACTAGCCCTAGGCACCTCGCCTAGTGGATTGGCAAAAAAGAAAAATCTAAAAACCTCAACAAATTACAATATCAATACTTCAACAGTGCAGATCTCACTTGCCAACAGATGCAACAAATTGAAAGATATCATCACTTTGCTCTACATAACATGATACATTATAGGGTGTCATCAGAACAAAAAGATAAGTATTCATTGAGGCCACAACTGCAAGTATGCTTCTACGACTACTTCAACAGAGCAACACTTCGCAGGAATAATTACTGTTGCTGCATAACAACTATCAGCTGCCACTGTTATTTCGAAGGTATTGACTGTATGTATTTTTTCGAATCAATCACCAGTGGTATTAGACCATGTTCATTATGGGTTTGGTTAGAGAAATTACAACAACAATATTTAAACAAGGCAGCTTTCAGTATACAACAGGTGAACAAAATTGGAAGATATCAGTCCATTGCTCTACATGGCTTCAGCAAGTATAGGGGACTGTTTGATCTGCTATATTTACACTGGCATTTGGAGAATAATTTGTACCTAGCTGTCTTTGTCTATCATATGCCAAGGAAGCTCATTGGTTAGATGCTCTTCGATGGACAGAGGGATCTTCTTTGGATTGCAATAAATGGTACCTGGTGAGAGCTTTGTAGGTACTACAACAAATTGTTTGCAATTGGTGTGTGAATTCATTGTCGTCGGCAATAAATGGATATTTCAAATTATTAGATTTGTACTTTTTATATATCAATATGCAATAGCCATTGGACAGTGTGTAACTTTGACCCAATTTGGAATTTATTAAATATACCAGCTACTAGGTGAATAACCCAGTAGTATATTTGCTAAAAATTGAAAACCTAAAAACCAAAAACCACAAACCTAGAAACACGCTTGAGAGCTTGAGAGCTCTAGCGAAGGGCGAAAAGGAGAAGACTTCATCGAGCAGCTCTCGCGAACTCTGCCATGGCCACTCCGGCAGGTGGCCAGCCTCCCCCAATGACTGGGCTGTCTCCCCAACCTCCTCCCAATATCCCTAACCCCACTACACAATCAAAAACACCACTAGATTTCTCCCAAATATTAAAACCAGTCATGCTTAATGCTCCAGCTATGGCGAACCCTAGTTCTAACGTGGAAGTTGATCCAGTTCCTCTTCGACGTGCTACTTTTGTGAATGGGCAACCAATGGTGAGGTTTACTGAAGTTGAGGTTGATCGTATGAATGTGATCGAATGTCTTCAGTATGATATCGTATGTAAGTTCTCTTATGGCTGGCCTGAGCTCCTAGAGTTTCGTAGAATTATGCCTGCACAATGTGGAATTAAGGGTGAGTGTTACATTGGGTATTTTAGAGATAGACACGTTTTGATAAGGTTGACATTATGGCAAGATTTTTACGTCAAAAAGTGCCTATTATGTGAAGGGTAAAGATGGTTATGAATATCAACTAAGAACATTGATCTATGATGCTAAATTTAAAGCCGGGGAAGAAACACCTAAGGTTATGGCATGGATTTCCTTTCCTAACCTACTGCCTACTTTCTTCGTTAAAGATATTTGTTTTCATTAGCTTCAGCTGTGGGGAAGCCTTTACACTTGGATATGGCTACTATAAATAAGACTCGACCAAGTTGTGCAAGGTTTAAAGTTCTAGTCGGCCTTCTAGCGGACTTACCAAAGAAAGTACGTATGGATATCGAGAATGAAGCCACTGGGGAGGTTCGCACATAATGGGTGAAGATTAACTATGATTATCTTCCTAAATATTGTAAGACTTGTAAATTACAAGGGCATGATAAGTTTGAGTGTTGGCGTATTCACCCAGAATTAATAGAAAACAAATAGAGTAACAAGCAAGGTGTACAGGATGTTCAAGGTGGAGAAATTGCTATTTCAAATGGGCAAAAAAATAAAAACAATGCTAATCAACCAATCATGATTCTATCTAGTGGAAAAGTGGTTGGTAATGTGGGGGAACAATGGAAAGAAGTAAGGGATAATAGGGTGAAGAATGGTGCAAGGCAAGGTGAGACTCAAGGAGCTACTGGAAAAGAGATTGTCCCAGTTGATCAAGGTGTAGTGCAGCAGCTTTCAGTGGAGAATGTGGTGTCTCAGCAGGTTCAAATAACCAACAAATTTGCAGTTTTAGAGGTTGAAGATGATGAACAGGAGAATAATAATGAATTAGCTTTGGTGGCTCAAAGTACTGTCCCTCGAAGTCCTAATCCTAATGCCACTGGGAAAGGGACTGCTAGGTCAGCTACCAAACCTATTTCACCTAGGAAGATCTTGAATGCAGCTGCTCCAGCTTATAATCCCACTTCAACTGGGATTGGAGCTAAGAAGGTTGTTGATTTAGAAGCCAATGTTCAGAAGGATAAGGTGACAGAATCCACAACACAATGGGTTACTCGAGCTTTTGGAATAAACAATGTTACTACTAATCAATCATGCCAGAAAATTCCATCGTAATCACTTGATACAGCAGCTATTGAGGAGTAGGAGAACTATCAAGATCAAGTTAAATTCACTGGAGGAAGGTTATGGAGTGACCAAGTGGAGGAACATTCAGATGAGGAAGATGAGGAATTGGTTAATGATAATGAACAAAATGATCAGATTGAGAAAAATGATCAAGGAGAAGAAGAGCAAAGTGTGAATGGAAACAATGGTCAGTTGATAATACAACAGGAAGATAACAATTCAAAGTCGATGGAGGAGTTGCCCAGGAATGAACCTCATTCACAAGAGGTTCAAGTTTCAAGCCCTAAAAAGAACCCTAACCCTAACACTATTTCCAAACCTAACCCTAACCCTAATGATACGGTAGCAGCAAAGCCTATCAGTGGTGATCCTATTGATCCAGGAGATAAAATTAAAGATAACCAGCCTCATATTGATCCCAAGAAGGTCATGCAGCTTGAGGGTAATAAGGGAGGTGATCCAAGGTCACCTAATCAAGATAAAGGAGAAGAAATCATTGTACGCGCAACTAATCCAGTTGATATAACTGGACATGTAGTGACGGAGAATGTGAGCAAGAACTAAATCCCAAAATCTTTTAAGAACCAGTTGACAACCAAAGATGTGCAGGCAGAAGATGAAGATACTCAGCTGGACAAAGGGAAAGACTTAGATGCAGAATCAACTACCCATAATTTCATGCATGTTGCTAGGCAAGGTGATATATCTCCTAGACAAATGGAGAAGGGAAGATCAGCAGGTCGAGGAAGAAGAAAGCAGTCTAAGGAGGCTCTAGTATGCAAGCACCTAGTGTTCAAACGAGAAGGACAATTTCCAAATCAATCAATTAGATATGAATGCTATGATTTGAAATTTTCATTCAGTTAATACGAAAAGAACTTTTGAAAGGCTCATATCAATGCATAGAAGACATAAGTTCTAGTTCATAGGCTTGATGGAACTAATACAACAAGGAAGGAAGCTGGATAAATATCGTAGGAGAATTGATTTTCATTTGGCCATCAAAAATGTGTCTAATAAAATTTGGGCATTTTTTGAAAAGAGATTTGAAATTACAATGATGATGGACATGGTGCAGCAATTAACTCTAAAGATTTTTGTTACTGAAGATCAACAAGAATTCATCCTAACTCTAGTGTATGCAAAATGTGATGCGATTGAAAGAATAGAGCTGTGGGATTCACTATATGTATTGGCCAGTGACATGACTCTTCTATGGCTTGTTGGTGGTGACTTTAATGTCATTTGGGATGAGGAAGAAAGATTTGGAGGGTTACCAGTGCACATTAATAAAGCTGATGACTTTAGACACTGTGTCAACACTTGCAATTTGTTTGATCTTGGCTTCAAGGGGAGTATTTATACATGGTGGAATAGAAGAGCAGAGGAAGATTGCATTTTTAAGAGGTTGGATATGTGCTTGGCTAATGTTGAATTTTAGAATTTGTGGCTTGGGCTAGAGGTCGAGCACTTGCCAAAAATAGGGTCTGATCATAGCCCTTTGTTAATCACTTTGAATCCAGAAGTGGCTCCAATTAAAAAGTAATTTAGATTCTTAAATTTCTGGATCAAACATGACACATTTAAGGTAGTAGTTCAAGAAAATTGGCAAGCTGATTTCCATGCAAATCTCTTCATCTTATTTAATTACAAGTTGAAGAAATTGAAGAAGGCTCTATCTATATGGAGTAAGGCTACTTATGGGGACACATTTCATAAAATAACCTGTCTTGAGGAAGTGGTGAAAGTTTATGAAGCTCAGTTTACATTGAGGCCTACCCTGGAGAATAGAGAAAGGCTTCAATTAGTACATACAAATTTGTATAAATATATGGCATTGGAGGAGGAGTCCTGGAAGCAGAAATCAGGTATGACATGGTTTCAAGATGAGGATAGGAATACGAAGTTTTTTCATGCACAAGTTAGAGGAAGAAGAAAGCAATTGCAACTGAAGAGAATTCAATCCAGTAATGGTCAGTGACTCTAGGAGAATGAAGAGATTGCTGATGAGACAGTGAGGTTTTTCACAGCTCAATTTCATGAAGATACTCTCCCTAATGCTTTTGGCATCATAGATCACATTCCTCACATGTTAAATAGGGAGCAGAATCAAGAATGCAACCAACAAGAGAAGAAATGAAGAAGGCAGAATATGGTTTGAATGGTGAGAGTGCTGGGGGTCCAGATGAATTTAATTGCAGTTTCTTTCATGCTTGCTGGGATATCATAGGTGAAGATGTGATGGATATGGTTAAGGAATTCTTCAATATGCAGGATCTTCCTAAGTTTGTGACTCATACAAACTTGGTATTACTACCAAAAAAGAAGAAAGTGGTGACCTTTTCTGATATGAGGCCAATTAGCCTTAGTAATTTCATCAATAAGGTGTTTTCTAGGGTCATTCATGAGAGGCTAGTTGGCTATCTTCCTAACCTTATCTCTGATGAATAAGCAGGCTTTGTGAAAGGAAGAAATATTATTGAAAATATGTTGCTAACGCAGGAAATTATTACTGACATGAGGTTGAGAACTAAGGCAGGACCTAATGCTGTGATCAAGCTAGACATGATGAAGGCATATGATAGACTATCTTAGTTGTTCTTGACCAAGGTGTTAAGGAAGATGGGATTTGATGAAAGATTTATTGGTTTGGTGTTTGGGATCATCTCCAACAATTGGTATTCAGTTCTTATAAATGGGCAGCCTCATGGATTCTTCAAATCTACGAGGGGAGTGAAGCAAGGTGATACATTATCACCTACTTTATTCATATTAGTAGATGAAACACTCTTAAGATGTTTGAATGCACTTCATTTGAATTTATACTTTTGTGGCTTTGAATTACCTAAGTGGAGTCCCAAGATAAATCACTTAGCCTATGCAGATTATACGATTATATTTTCATCCTCAGATGCTACTTCATTACATTTGATCATGGAGGTTTTGTATGCATATGAAGTAGCCTCTGGACAGAAGATTAACAAGGCTAAATCTATAGTTTATTTGCATCACTCTACTAATAAGGAGGTGGTCAGGAAAGTGGAAAGGATCACAGGGATTGGAAGGCAAGATTTTCTTTTCATATATCTTGGATACCCTATATTCTACACTAGAAGGAGGATGGATTATTACCAAGGTCTAATCACTAAAGTTCTGGAGCAATTCAGTGGATGGGAGAGCTAGACATTGGGCTTCTTGGGATACCCTATGCTTGCCTTGTGAAGAAGGAGTAGTAAGGTTTAGATCCTTGCATGATATGTCTAAAACTTTGTTTTGCAAGCTATGGTGGAATTTCAGAACTAAGCAATTATTATGGAGTTCATTCATGAGCTAGAAATACTGCAAGAAATTAAATGCATTGGTGGTTCCTTGGAGAGATGGATCACATGTGTGGAGAAAAATTCTGGAGTGTAGGGATCTTGTGGAGCATGAGATTGTATGGAAGCCAAAAATGAGACCATCTCTCTTTTAGTTTGATAATTGGACTGGCTTGGGATCCCTATACTTTATTACACCACCTGACTTCTTTTGTGATGAAACAATTCACAATGTCTATGATGTTGTGAATGAAGGATCTTGGGATGTGGAGAAGCTATATGACATACTGCCTGAAGAGTTAGCCACACACATTTTGGAGAATGTTGCTCCTCTAATGGAAGATAATGTGCTGGATAAGCCTATTTGAAATTTAAAAACTAAGAGGAACTTTTCAGTCAAAACAACTTGGGATTATCTTAGAAGAAGGAAAGATGTTGCCATAACCTATAAGAATATCACTACTAGAAATTCGGCAAAAACCGACCAAGGTCGACCGACCAACTTTGGTCGGTCAAAAAACCGACCAAAGTTAGTCGATTTTTCAAAATATTTTATTTTTTAATTTTTTTTACGAAACCGACCAACTTTGGTCGGTTTTCTTGGCGCAAAAATACGGGAAACTATTTTTGAGTCCCGCAAAATTTATTTTTCAAAAAACCGACTAACTTTGATTGATTTTTCAATTAAAATAAATAAAAATTAATATTAAAAAAACCGACCAAAATTGATCGGTTAATTCGGTCGGTCATTTAAAAAAACCGACCAACTTTGGTCGGTAATTTTACTTTTTAATAAAACCGACCAACTTTGGTCGGTTATTTTCGGGCGAAAATACAATTAAATAGTATAAATCAAATAAAAGACAGTCTTAAAACAAAATGTACCAATGGTCTAGTGGTAGAATAGTATCCTGCCACAGTACAGACCCCGATTCGATTCCCAAATGGTGAATCTTTTTATTATATAATTAAACTACCGACAAACGTTGGTCGGAAAAAACCGACCAACTTTGGTCGGTTTTTTTTGCAATAATTTTTTTTTGAATTTAATTGACCGACCAAAGTTGGTCGGTAATTTTCGACCAACTTTGGTCGATATGCCTTTCCGACCACAAAAATACCGTCCACACGTAAATGGTCGCATTTTGGTCGGTTTTTGGCCATTACCGACCAACATTGGTCGGTTTTTACCGGATTTCTAGTAGTGATATGTGGGTGAAGGGATTGCCTTTCAAAATTTCCTTCTTTATGTGGAAGCTATGGAAAGGAAGGCTACCTTTAGATGATGCAATACGGATGATGGGGTATTTTATGCCTTCAAGGTGTTGGTGTTGTGTGAATCCGGACGAAGAATCAGTAGCTCATGTATTTTTCAGATCATATGCAGCCAAAAAGGTGTGGGGTTACTTCCTTTCTCATGCAGGTTTATCTTTGGAGGGATTAAGCTTGCATCAAGCGATTGTAAAATGTTGGACAGCGGAGGTCATTCCAAGGCTCAAACCTATTTTCCTAGCATTGCCTTGCATTATTGTTTGGGAATTGTGGAAAAGGAGAAATAGAAACAAGCATGGTGATGCTGTGTCGATTAATAGAGTGGTGTATCAAATTAACACTACAATTCAGTCCCTAATCAAGGTAAGGAAAGCAGGTTTGATCAATGTTCCACATAGGTGGCCAGATATACTTCATATGATGGAGAGGTACATGCCTAAGTTGAAGATCAGTAAGGTGACCTGGGAACTCCCTATGGATGGATGAACTAAGAGCAATACGGATGGGGCTTCAAGGGGTAATCCTGACAGGAGTTCAATTGGTTTTTGTTTGAGGAATGAACTTGGTGACATTATATATGCGGTGGGGAAAGATATAGATGAGACTACAAATACTAAGGCAGAAGCAATTGCAATACATGAAGCATTGAGATACTGTTTGCAACATGATATGGCTCAAGTCTTGGTAGAAACAGGTTCGATGCTGCTCAAAAATGCTATCCAAGAAATCTGGAAGCCACCTTGGCTCTTCATGCTCAAGGTACCATTATAGTAAGGAACGTAATCGACCTAGCAATCATCTGTAAGATACAAGTTTTAAAGGATAGCCACAACCTCAGGATGCAAAAGCTGCCCAGTTATACGTGGCAGTGGTTTTCAAATGGCTCTATGGAAGAAATACATTGTACCAAATGGAGCAGCTCAGCATGTTCTCCAAGTATGCTATACAAGGAAGACAACCTGGGAGGAATTTCATACTTTCATGCAAGGATTATGACAGAATTATGGACGCCAAAATGGACCTTCATCATGAACAATGAGTTTTGTGCAGTGTTGGACACAGGAAATAGCCACATTTGGACACTTTTGGCAACTCCAAAGGAGAGCAGCTGCTACATTCACATGAGGCATTCACAGGCAATGGACTTGAAACATGCAAAGGATGAGAATTACATCTTGATGTGCCACTATGACAAATGAATGTGCGCAAATGCAGAAAATGGCTACGCATGTAATAGGCTAGTTTTTATACATGTATTAGACTTTGATTTTCATATTCATATTAGATCACAGTGTACTATCAGTTTTGGGCCTCACAAGCCCAAATATGATAATAGAATTCATGTACTAGACATATCTTACATAGGCACCTCGCCTAGTGGCTTTATTTTATTTTATTTTTTTGATTTATTACTTTATTTTCTTGATTTATTATATATATAAAAACTAACCCTAGGCACCTCGCCTAGTGGCTTTGCTAAAATAAAGTGTCATATACTATAGGTGAAACTCCACTATATAATTTAAAATTTCATGATAGTGACTATTTGTCAACTACAGGGGCTAAAAAGTGGTTATTTGCNAAAAAGTGATTATTTGTGAATTTTATCCAATTTAAACAATGGCCTATTATGCAAATGCTCTGTTTATAGAGCTCGAGATTTCACAAGGTCAAGGCTTATTTCACTTGAATCTATCATTTGAAGTTGCATATACCATCTTCCTCCTCACCATTGACGAATCTGGCTACCTATATTTTGCACTTTACTTGCTCCTATATTTTGCACTTTACTTGCTTGTTCGAAAATGGAAAGGTATTCACATTGGGGGTTTTTATATGCGAAGGAACAGTAAGCACCTAATTTTTTATCATAATCGGATTTTTCACCACGTTTTAGTATGTAAATATTTGTTGAGTTTAATTTACATATTTTAGCTATTTGTTTTACCTTTTATAGATTTTTCTTAGAAAATTAAAACTCGCAAAAGATTCACATTTTTTAATTACTAGCTTTGTTTTAATTTGCAAAAGAAAAGAAATTTACAAAAATATGTTTTTCTTCTAATTTTGGTAAGACTAGCAATTTTATAACTTTTTTCTTAATAGTTTCTTATATTTTTCTAGTTTTTAGTTTTAGTGTAGTATCTTTAATTTTGATTATCTTTAATAAATATAAAAAAAAAAGGGGAAAAAAAAAAAGAACCAATGCAAAAATGACACCTATTAAGATTTTTTCATATCTTTTGTAACAAACCCACATGCTGTCACTCAAAAACTCACATGCACATACACACTCTTATTTTCTTGGCCACCAATTAATCCGTATATCTACATGTATATATCTACACGTATATATCTTCCACTCACTCACACAATTAAAAACACACAAAAAAAAAGGAGTGACGAGAGAGGGAAGGGGCATCTGAAGAACAAAAATAACACAAAAGAAAACGAGAGAAAAACATAGAATGGCAAAAGGAAAAAAAAACTCTAGAGAAAGGAGAGAAGCACAGCTTTGGGTTTGGGGGTTTTCTTCTTTCATTTTTATTGTTATTGTTCTTCTTCATCATTCTTCTACACAACCATGAACATCACTTAAGATCCAGCTATATAAATCCACTTGAAAACTCCATTAAAATACCTCACAAGCTCCAAAAATCAGCTGTTATTTCCTCCATAATTTTAGCCAAAACGCAGCAGCAAAAATGCCCCGAAACAGCCGTGAATCCCAGCTCAAAACCATCCAAAAATGCCTGAAAATACATCCAAAACCAGCAGTATAGTCCAGCCATGAACCACCCTTAAACAGCCCCCAAACAATCCAAAATCTCAGCCCAAAAGATACGGCCAAAGTCAGCTTCAAACTAATCCAAAAATCTGCCGCGAAACACCATGAAAATCCTTCCAAAACGGCTATTAGTAACAAAACGGGGGTCTAAGGTTTCCTGTCGAAGTTCCGGTCGAAGGTGCGTAGTCAATTTGGTTCGAGTTGCTGTCCACTTTTGC